CCTAATAACCGTTCAGACCTTGATTAGCTTGTTCAGGTGTGTTTGATTAGGGTTGAAGCAAAACTCTGCAGGGCTGCGGCTCTCCAGGACCGACGTTCGCCACCCCTGCACTATACCATTCAAAAGCTTGGAGTCAGTATCTTTTTTTGGGGGGTGGGGAAATAAATTATAGAAATTTATACTTTTACCAAGGATGCTTTAAATTGATCAAAAGTGATGATACAGACATTTATGTTACAAAAGATTTCTATTTCAGATAAATGCTGTTCTTCTGAACTTTCTATTCATCAAAGAAACCTGAAAAAAATCTACTCCGCTGTTTTCAACATCATAATAATAAATGTTTTTTGAGCAGTAAATCAGAATATTAGAATGATTTCTGAAGGATCATGTGACTGGAGTAATGATGCTAAAAGCAGCATATTTGAATGATTTCTGAAGGATCATGTGACACTGAAGACTGCAGTAATGATGCTGAAAATACAGCTTTGAAACCACAGGAATACATTACAGTTTAACAGATATTCAAATAGAAATCAGTCATTTTAAATAGTAAAAATATTTCACAATTTTACTGTTTTTGCTGTACTTTGGATCAAGTAAATGCAGGCTTGGTGAGCAGAAGAGACTTCTTTAAAAAACATAACATCTTACTGTTCAAAAACTTTTGACTGGTAGTGTACGTTGTACAAAATAATAATAATACAACTTTTTGTAGCTACAGTATTAAGAGGTTAGATGTTGTAGATATTGATAAATAAGTCATTAGATAAATTTTAAACGTGATTGCCAGTGATTTTGAGTTAATGTTAGTGAGGCTCTGTTTCTCTTACAGTTTTTAAATGTCTGGTGTGTGTATATGTTTGTCTAGTTTGAATCATGGAGAACGTTTCAGGATCAGACCAGGACTGCAAAAATGTAGGTCTTCACACAACACTCATATGTATACAGCATCGCTTAAAAACTGTCCATGATACAGTTCTCATCTCTCCTCTTGTGTTCAGATGCCTGTGATCTCACACTGGATCCAAACACTGCAAACACTTACATCATTCTGTCTGAGGACAGCAGGAAGGCGACGCTTGTGGAAGAGCATCAGCCGTATCCTGGTCATGCAGAGAGATTTGAGCACTATGAGCAGGTTCTGTGTGGAGAGAGTCTGACTGGACGCTGTTACTGGGAGGCTGAATGGAGCGGCTGGGTTGACATAGCAGTGACATACAGAGGAATCAGCAGGAAAGGAAGAAGTGATGACTGTGATTATGGACTCAATGATAAGTCCTGGAGTTTGAGCTGCATTAAGGGCAGATGCACTGTCTGGTATGATAAAATCAGCATTGATATTCCTGTACCTTTACCACAATCGAACAGAGTAGGAGTGTATCTGGACGTGTCGGCCGGCTCTCTGTCCTTCTACAGTGTCTCTGACTCACACACTCTCACACACTTACACACATACAACATCACATTCACTGAACCCCTCTATGCTGGGATTGGTTTTTTTTATAATAATTGCTCAGTATGTCTGTGTCAGATTTAGTAACCTACAGGAGAGCACAGCAAAGAATATTTCTCACACACCAAGT